CTCCTCCTCCTCCTCCTCCTCCTCCTCTCACAGAAAAAAGAGTGCACAGACCACAAACCATCCTAGCGGCAAACACGTTATTGATTAACGAATTCCCCAAGACCGCCATGTCGCGTTATACTCGAGAAAGTGGCGCAGAAATGAGAAGATTACCGTTTTATTTGTTACAACGACGAGATTTCTGGAACTACAAAAGGAAAGAGTAAACAGTCTTAACAAGGACGTTTCTCAACGAACGTTGAAGGGTACGGAGAAACGCATGGCGTGTAATGGTCCCGTATAAAAGAACATGGAATCGATGATGGAGCCGAGTTTTCTACCTGAGCTGATGATGTCTTTTGTTGTAACGTTTAGTGATTCTTGTTCTCTGGCAGATTATTATTTTATCTTTGTAGATTTTTGGTGATCTAGATTTAGTTGTTGGTGGTGCCGCTTTCAATTATTGGAATTTTGGTTGTTGTTGTTGTTGGTGGTGGTGGTGGTGGTGGTGGTGGTGGTGATGGTAGCATTGCTGTTGTTGTTGTTGTTGTTGTTGTTGTTGTTGTTGTTGCTGTTGTTGTGTTTGTTGTTGTTATTGTTTTTGTTGTTGTTGCCGTTGTTGTTATTGGCTTTGATGATGTCTTTGTTTACTAAAGACACAATTCACATGCCCGTCCACAGATGAGCTGCAGGATTCCATCGTCATCTTCGGCAACGAAGGAAGGACTACCTACACAAATTCACCTGTGATGAGTCCAGCAAGGAGGGAGGGAGGGAGGGAGGGGGTAGGGAGGGAGGGGGTCAACGCGTAAGGCCTGACAAGGACATTAATTTCACAGCGAACCACGAAAGGAACGGAGGAAGCATGGCGTCTAATGGTCCCGTATCCTTCCTTGATAAAAGAACACGAGAGTCGATAATGGAGCCGAGTTTTCTACCTGCGCTGTGAGCTGTTTTTTTGTGGTTGTTTAGTGATTCTTGTTCTCTGGCAGATTATTATTTTATCTTTGTAGATTTTTGGGGGGGAGGTATTCTTTGAGGACTCCGTGGGAAAAACACGCAAGGTCACCAAACGGAAACATTGAGAAAATCAATTTGAAAAGCTTGCAGATTTATAACGTTATCTTTGTCCGTCTGTTTGTGTGTTATTAATATTGTTGGTGTGTTATCAATGTTGTTGTTTGAAAGGGAAATCGAAGATGGCGTCAGTGGCCCAGTGGTTAGGCTACCGGACACGTAATCGTGAGTCGTGAGATTGCGGGCTCGGGAGTTTGAGCCTCAGCTCGGTCGTGTCCTTGGGAAAGGCACTTTACATGAAATTCCAATTTGGCACAGCCCTTTCGGAGAAGGAAATTAAGCTCGTAGGTCCGGCCTCTTAAATAGTGTTGATAGGGGTGTTAAACCTATACAGTTATACAGTTTCAAAATTTGAGAAATCGAACACTTGTGATAAACCAACTGTCGAACAGAAGCCAGATATTGGTGTCTGTGGTGTAGGGGAATCGCGCTTCGCTGTCGCATGCAGGAGAGCCGAGTTTGATTCCCGAATGGGAACAATTTCTATCGACCATCTCGGTTTATTTTCTGCTGGGATGCTGCATCCTTCAAAGTCCGCGTTGGCCCTGACAGACAGGGTCGATTATGTGCCTCTTAAATTTTCGAAATTGTTTCTTTTAATTTTAATTTTAGTACGTGTTTTACGGCACTTGCAAAACAAAATAAGGTCACAAAAGTGCCGAAGATTAGAGGTGTTACAAGAGAGTAACAAACACAAAAAAGAAAGAGTGGAGATAAAGACGATAGATATTTGATAGGAGAAAGAAGAAGCAAACCACAGCAGAGCACCCGCTAAACAACCACTGAAATTCTTTCAATGGCGGCGTAATAAGACGTAGTTAAAAAAAACCCAAAAACAACAAGGCTATGAGTCTACCAACGCGATGTTCTCCCAACAAGTTCCATTGTGGGTTTGTAACCTTGCATGTTTTCTGAGACTTTCTCGTGGTCTCTTTCCGTGAGGTTTTTAGTCTCGGGCATGACACATCATAGAGCTTGCTGCTGAGCGGGGATTTGCGCTATAGACAATTAATGTGAGGCATCGTGTTGACATCAGGCGCTCGTCACAATTTTGAAATGAAAGAAACTGGCATATTTCCGGCCATATGGCAGCTTTCTTCCAATTTTCTTTGATTGACTCAACACCCTTTACGCTCACAAAAAACACATTTCTGGATGGATTTTACTGAAAACATTGATTAAAGGCACAAAAATGAAACATTTTAGTTTCCAAAGTCTCTTATTACTCTTAAGCTATGGAAGTTAGCAAACTTTGGCTGCCATTTTCCCTCTTTTTTTACCTCCGAAACCAAATTACCCCCACCTCCTTCAATTGCAAATATCTGAACTTCTAATAAAGATAGATGGGTGTTTTTTTAATCAAAAGCAAGGCAAATGAATAAGCTTTCACATGATACTAATAACACTGCATGGTCAAAAATGACGACCGCCTGATTCCACTGTGTCGTGACACAAATGCTATCCATTAGTATTATATCACCTCGTTTTGTTTGGCAACAAGACATTTGGCCGTACAGGATATTTGCAGGACAGAGAACCTACTGTCATCATCATCATCCAGTCCCAGATCTGCGACAGACATCGGCGATCATGTTTTTCCATTCATTACTTTGCTCGTATGCTCTCAGAAAAGCTACGTTTCCCTGATCTTTCCCTGTTACCTCTTTGTTTAGGTTCCCTAAGTATGTTGTTCTGGGCCTACCCCTACTGTATTTCAGCAAAATACACTGTTAGTTTATATTATCATGTCTTCCTGTTCAACACTCCGCTCAATGCTCAGCACAGTTTAGTTTACTTTGGGGGTAGGTCTAGGCTGAATAACCTGTCTGCTAAGGTCAACTTCAACATGTTCTGGACTGTTTGTTTATATGTGTATCACGGGTTTGTGTGTTTGTATGTTATGGTGTGTGTGTGTGTGTGTGTATGTGTGTGTGTGTGTGTGTGTGTGTGTGTGTGTG